GAGCTAGGCTCACGCTACTCGTTCCTCCACACGTTGGGCGCGCCGCGGGCTTCTTAGTCACCACGACGCCGCCCCGCCGCCCCCACAACACTCACACTCGCGGTCCCCCGGGACCTCACCCATGGGAAGGCCCACGAGACCCCTCCCGCGTGCGGTGCAGTCAGGCCCCGCCCCCGGGAGGGACCCCGCCCCCAGGAGGGACCCCGCCCATTGGGCGGAGCCCAGGCCGCCGTGGGCGAGTGCGCCTGCGCAGGCATCTGGCGTTTCTCCGGCCTGCGAGAGATTCTAACAGAACTTGGTCTCGGCTTTGTGGGGGCTGCTCAAAGCGGTCCAAAAGAGACCCGAAAAGAAATGAATGGAATCCCAGCACCGAGGGGACCCCCTAGATGGTCTGAGCTCTGACTGCGGAATCCCGACGCCAGGACTGGAGTGATCAGACTTAATTGTACCGTGGCAAACAGCAGTGCCTGTCCGTCTGGAACTAATTGACAGGCTCCTCAAAACAACTCTGAGTAGCTTCCCCTAAAAGTAACCTGTTTTCCCAGGCCCTAGGTTACATTTAGTCCATTCTGAGTGGGTAGTGTTTTAAAAAAATAACAGATGGCTTCATATATCCTCACTTGCCCAGAATCACGAGGCTGATGCCATGTGAAGCAAGACCATGATGCTCGCTGGCCCTCTCTTCTTTAGGCGCTCATACTGAACAACAGGCCTGGAGGTGCCCATTCCCTGTGTTATTTCTCAGCACCGTCTATAATTGCAGCTTTGTAAAAATTGGACCCCAGGAGGAGAGTTTCTTAGACCAAGGAAACTGTGCCACACAAATTCAAAACCTTATTAGATGTTAAGACCTTGGTTGCTGGTGACAGAAACCCAACTCAAAACAGCTTTTGCAAAATGGAAATTATTGGACCACATAACAGCAAAATCTTGGGGTGGTGATAGTGCCAGGAACAGCAATATTCAAGGCGTCGTTCTCCCTGTTTGACTCTGTTCTTTTTCTTTGCTGTTAAGACCCATTCCTTTCTATACAATGGAATAAAGACAGTCTCTTCAGCAAATGGTGTTGGGAAAACTGGACAGCAAGCATGTAAATCAAATGAAGCTAGAACACTCCCTTACACCATACACAAAAATAAACGCAAAGTGGATCAAAGACTTAAACATAAGACAAGATACAATAAACCTCCTAAAGAAAATATAGGCAAAACGTTATCTCACATATATCTCAAAAATGTTCTCCTAGGGCAGTCTACCCAAGCAATAGACATAAAAGCAAGAATAAACAAATGGGACCTAATTAAACTTACAAGCTTCTGCACAGCAAAGGAAACCATAAGTAAAACAAAAAGACAAGCTATGGAATGGGAGAAAACTTCTGCAAATGAAACTGACAAAGGCTTTATCTCCAGAATATATAAGCAGCTCATACGACTTAATAAGAAAAAAACAAACAACCCCATCCAAAAATGGGCAGAAGACCTAAACAAGCAATTCTCCAAGGAAGAAATACAAATGATCAATAGGCACATGAAAAAAATGCTCAATATCACTAATTATCAGAGAAACGCAAATCAAAACTACAATCAGGTATCACCTCACACCAGTCAGAATGGCCATCATTCAAAAGTCCACAAATGACAAATACTGGAGAGGCTGTGGTGAAAAGGGAACCCTCCTACACTGCTGGTGGGAATGCAGTTTGGTGCAGCCTCTGTGGAAAACAGTATGGAGATTCCTCAAAAGACTAGGAATAGACTTACCATAGGACCCAGGAATCCTGCTCCTGGGCATATATCCAGAAGGAATCCTACTTCAAAAAAGACATCTGCACCCCAGTGTTCACAGCAGCACTATTTACAATAGCCAAGACATGGAAACAGCCTAAATGTCCATCAACAGATGACCAGATAAAGAAGATTTGGTATATTTATACAATGGGATACTACTCAGCCATAAAAACCGACAACATAATGCCATTTGCAGCAACATGGATGCTCCTGGAGAATGTCATTCTAAGTGAAGTAAGCCAGAAAGAGAAAGAAAAATATCATATGAGATCGCTCATATGTGGAATCTAAAAAAAAAAAACATAAATACAAAACAGAAACAGACTCATAGACATAGAGTACCAACTTATGGTTGTCAAGGGGGCGGGGGGTGGAAAGGTACAGACTGGGATTTCAAAATGTAGAATAGATAAACAAGATTATACTGTATAGCACAGGGAAATACATACAAGATCTTGTGGTAGCTCACAGAGAAAAAAAAGTGACAATGAATATATGTATGTTCATGTATAACTAAAAAATTGTGCTCTACAGTGGAATTTGACACAACATTGTAAAATGACTATAACTCTATAAAATTGTTTAAAAAAAATAAAAAATAAAATATCAAAAAAAAGACCCTTTCCTTTCAGTAGATAGTCTCAAATTTTCTAATTCAAATTTTGGAAAGAATGTATCTGATTGGCTAAGATAATCATTGTTACCCCTATCCAGCAGAGTTTACTCTTCCTTGCCTCCACTGGGTCAGGTGATCACCTTTCTCCAATGAATAGTCACCCATTAGAGCACAGAAGGGATCAGTGAGGAAGGCAGTCTCTGCTACTGACCCTTTTGAGACACCTGTAGCTCATTTGAGAGATGCCATGGCTTCTTGCAAACATATCCTTTGAACATAATGTTAAAGTGGCTCCCATTGACAGCAGCTGCCAGAAAGCTGGGTTGAAACTGCTTGTAAGGGGTGAGGAGGGCCAGGGCAAACGACCTTAAACCCTTTTGTGCTATGTAATTTTTAATACCGTACATGTATTACTTTGGGGGTAAAAAAAAAATTAGAAAACACTGATAGATTAACTCAAGTTTATCTTCAGCAATCCTTTTACTTACTGGTACTGTGTTGGAATGTGGAATGTAGGTGTGATGGCTGGAGCTAGATTAGTCATCTTGAACCATGAGGCAACCATGAGACTGGAGGCCATACTGACCACACAATTAGGAGCTTGATCCCTGACACCATGGAGCCCTGTGACCCTGCTGGATGCCCACCTCCAGATTTTTTACAGGAGAGGGAAAAAAACCACCTTTGTAAACCACTGTTATTTGGGGTTTTCTATCACTCATCCTTTAGGTCTTAGACTCCAATTCTGGAAAGCCCCTCTTGTATCCCCAAGGCTGGTTAAGTACCCCCTTTATATTCATCAAACACCCCACACTTTTTCATTTCTTGGTATTTACAACGTTTTTCTGTAATAGACCATTCCCTCCCCCTAGATAGCAACTTCTGTAAGGACAGGCAAAGACTATATTATACACCATTTTACACAGATGCTAGAAACTCCTAACAAAATGACAATAATGACTTGTGAATGCGACAGATATGGTTATTCCACTGAGGGTGTTGAGAGGAAATGACAAACTGCTGCATACTCTCCGAATTAACTGGGTCATTGCCAAATCATCTTATGGTAGGGCGGGGGTGAGTGCTGGCCGTCCTGAATAACTAAAGACACAGAATCAGGGCAAAGAAGGGAGGGAGAAAAAGTGGCAGGAAATTCAAGTCATCTGAGGCTGGTGGCATTAGAACAGGGTGCTCTTCCTACCTCGTTTCTTTCTGTTTTCCACTTCTGGCTCTTTTCAGCTTCCCCTGGCTCTTGCCCCAGCCCTCTTTGGCCCTGGACCCCCATCACTTGCACCTATGTCCCCATATACCATGCCTTGATTATACCCAATGTCATTCATATTCAGAGTGTCCCTGATACATGCAAAAAAAGAGAAAGAGAAAGAAAAGGCAGCTCCTTACTCTTTTCTCTTGTTCATTCATTGCCCATATGTTCACTGAATACCCGTACTGCTAAGACCTATGGATACAAATTGAACACATCATCTCCAGCCTCAAGGAAATCACATCCTTGGTTGGGATGTTAGAATTCCAAGTCATCTCAGCCCTTTAGGTGATCTTGATCAGGAGTAAGAAACATTAAAGTAGAAATAGTCATGTTTCTACCCACTTCTAAAAAGTGTTTGCTCGTTTAGCTCCTTAGCTCCTGGATCTTGTGATGCTGCTGGCCTGGATGGACAAGTGATGCTAACAGAGGTAAGGAAGGCTAGACAGGTAGGTCAGAATGTGAGGTAACAAAGGCAAGATATTTAAGAAGCTGAGATATTGAGAGAGATTTAGGAACTATATTGGAAAAGCAGTTTTTAAAGGAAGTTTGGCCATGTGGTATGTATAATCCCCAATTCAGTCTCCAGGAGACCTTCAGTGAAGATTTTGGTGTTTTGTTTGTTTGTTTGTTTTCTGGAATTGCAATCTGATATGTCTGGATGGTTTCTCACTCCTGTTCCTTCTTCATCGCTTCCACACTGTGCCCAGCAGTTCAGCCTGCTCCATTAAAAAAGGTTTTATTTTGGGGGAGGATATGGTTCAGTGGTAGAGTACATGCTTAGTATGCATGAGGTCCTGGCTTCAATCCCCAGTACCTCATTAAAAAATAAGTAAATAAATAAATGTAATTACCTCCCTCCACCCCAAAAATAGAGGGATTCAGAAAGGTTTTGTGTCTCTGAGGAAGGGACTGGTGGCTACCTATAAAATCATCCATTCCATTTTTCCTTCAACATAGAATATATTTTGTTATATAGCAATGTGCTCAGTAGCTAAAAGACTGCATATCCCAACTTCTTTTACTGTTAGTTGTGACTGGGTGACTTTGTGAGATAAGCGGAAGTATTGAGAGGGATTTCTTGGAAGGCTACTTTAAAGGAGCTGATTCAGTTGGGAGATGAGTCTCTTCACCCTCCCCACCTTCTTCTCAACTGTTGTCTAGATGTCTGATGTGATGGCTGGAACTCCTGTAGCTGTATTGGACCCTGAGGCAACCTTGGAGATGGAAACCAGTCA